TTTCTGAAACCCGAACGCTGGATGGCTTGGTTTTTGGTTTGGGCGAACACCAAGTGTTTTTAATGACTTAAACATGTTTGAAAAGCATTTTTATGATTTAAGAAGTGCAATGAAGGTTTTTTAGCCTAAAGAGCCAAGGTGTAAAGGTTGGGTCGGTCTTGATCACAATGAAGACCGACTCAACGACACTAAGACTAAGGTCTTCGTTCTTGGTCTTCTTTTAGCTCTTGTTCTTGTCTTCCTTCTTCACCTTGTATATTCAAAGTTTGACTTGATCACGGCGGTTTGGCATTATCAAAACCTGTCATAAAAACAAACACGGCTTTAGTACGAAAACGTGACATGCCCGTGTTTCAACATTTGATATCAAAGTCATTCGTAAGTTGATTAAGTCAATACAATAGATCGAGTCTGTTGTTATTGAAGGTGTAATCGTTACGGTGATTTAGTGGAAGGGTTGTTACACGGATGTGGGCCCCGCAGAGTAGGAAAGTTTTCCGAACTGCGTAAACAAATTCTCTGTCTTGCGTATTTATTTCATTCTGCACGTTATATTATCTTCTGTTATAGGAGGTGCTGAAGCACTGCGTCAGTCCTTAGAGTTCCTGTGTGTTTGTTGAGTTTAGTAGTAGCTTTTAAAACTTTCATTAAAAACATAAAACTTGTAATCATTAGCATGCAAAATGGTCATGCCAATAATCAAACACCTATTACCAACCTTGGGACAATGAACTTTTCAAAAAATTTTAAGCGCAATTTAGAAACAAATTCATCACAACATATAAATTTAATAACCAATAAATGTCACGCAGTTGAATAAAAAATATACACGACATGCAATAATTAAACATTGCATGTTAATTAAAAATTACAAATTATTCTCAATTGTTATCATTCTTTAAAAAACTACTGACATCGCATTTGTTTCCATATAGTTTTCTTGGTTGGAGGGGGGATGGGACAATGGGTTGTTGAAATAGCTTCATTCCAGGTGGCATGATCAGAGGGGATGGATAAAATATGCAGCTTTCATGGCATGATTTGATGAATATTAGAGCGGGAATAATAAAAATAATAATCCGAACTTATAAAGCGTTCGGATTTTACAACGAAAAATAAGAGAAAAAGAAAAATGGAGTCTTCGGAATATCGAACTGGAACGGACAGCGGGAAGAGTACGAACGGACAGAACTGGAATACGAACGGATACACCGCTAGGAGCGTCGGACGGGAAGTAGCGGGTCGCCGGAGCAGTTTCTGGAACCAAGGGTAAGGAAAGCGGAGTCGCCGGAGCTTTCCTTAAGGTAGTATTACCCGCCTCCCGCACTGGCAAACGTGGGCAATCTCCTCCCAGGATAAAACCGCAGCGTGCTAAGTCTAGAGCGGTAGAACACAGCACCGGCGAACGAGAACGACGGGAAGTTATCTCCGGAGAAGATGACCGGAAACGGGGATTCGTCGGAAGAATTTACGTTACTGCAGAGAGAGAGTTTTCGAGTGTGTCTTTCTCCTGCAGCCAAGCCCTCCTTTTATAGGAGGGAATTTTTTGCTCTTCGCTGGATCGTCGGAGATTACGAATAGATGAGTGTCTCTTCGGTCTCAAGTTCATGCATGCTCATTACAACGGCACTTCGTTAATCACGAAGTGTCCATACGTGTTTAATTCGGTCTCGTAAAAATTTAGCCCCGCCACAAACAAGGGCGCGCCCCGCCCCGCGCGCGCATGTCGTGACATGCCGAGCCAGACGGCGGCGGCAACGTGCAAGGAGTCCTCTTCTTGTTCCTTTCATAAGCTCAATTAAAAGCCTAAGCTTAAATATGAGAATATGAAATATTCAAAAAACCGGTGTGGGACAAGGGTATTTACTTTACCCTCGTATTCAACTTTGAGAATTAATTTCTCATTCATCCGAGCACCGTTTATGGCGTGTCATAAGTCAAGATGTTCGTCTTACTTACGAGATTGAACGTCCATAATTATTTCGGAAAATAATTTTGTGGACCTACCGAATTTATGTCCAAAAAAAAGTGCAATTTACTTAAAATTTCCAACATGATTTAAGGGCGAGCTTGAACTTCTAGGGAGCATCGGAAGAGAAGGACGAATGGCGTACGCAGTCGGGGGTATAGGTGTGTCATACTCTTAATGTTATCGAACACAGTTTGATTGCTGAAACAATTATTTTAAATATTAAAACAAAGCAAAACAACAAAAATGATGTATCTTAAACATCATTAAAGGAATCCTTTCAGTTTGCCCAAAGTGATGCGCCGTGGTTGGCCATCATACAACGATGGAGTAGATTGTGAGCCCTGGAAAATACAGTATGTTTCAAGCTTTATTGTGTACATATGTTTCATGCTTTATTGTGTAAATTATACCAAGTACTTTTATTCGAATTTTATTTTTTGTAGATAGATTTTAAAAAATAACAAGCATTTTAAATAATTTTTTTAATGATGATAAGCAAATCTTGCATGTAATTATTTACACTATGTTTAGTTCAAGGAATTTGGAAGGGAAAAGAAAAGAAAATGATTTTACCTTATTTTCCTCACAAAAATGAGACAAATTTTGGTTTTCTTTCCTCTTGTTATAGATTTTAGTTTTTTTACGGAATATCTTTCTTTGTTTCAATGTACTTTTGAAGTAAAGGATCTTTGTGCATTTTAAAGTTTAAATTAGGCACATATGTAAATATCCCAATTTATACCGAAATTAATATCGAACTATCACGAACCATAGCAAACCAATATTTCAAGACCGGGATTGGTACGACCTCACATCACGTACTGAACCGAAATATTTAGTGTGGTATCGATACAAACTAAATATCTTACCTATTATAGGTTAAGTCCTAATGTCATAGTAAAAAGACACATTGAAAGTACTCCGCCCTACTATTTATTTAGTTAAGTTCCATAGAATGATGTAATTTGAACCCAGAACCACGACCATGCCCAAGCCTGCAAGTCTGTTACAACATACTCCAGTGGGTACTGCTAACTACTCCGTACGAAATATCATGTTCCCTTCTTTTCTTTAACGCCCAGCTTAACAACAGGGGATCAAATATTTGAGTTTTGCGTCCCACTCAATCCATTTCTAACAATTTGATCAGTTCCAATACTTGATGGAAATACTAATATATCTTGGTGATTTTAGTGTCTATCGCCTATTTTGTAAAATTGGGTTACTTAGATCATACAAGAATTTGAATTGACGTTGTCAAACGAGTTAAAGAATACGGAGTGCACACTGGTTTAACGATATTACAAATTCATGGCGAGGGTCTAGCGACGGCAGCCCTCAGTAGCATAGTCCAAGGGGCAGAGTCCAAAACGTCGAAAGATTTGGACGTACAATTAAACGCCAAAACTGGCCATAAAGAGCAAGAAGCTTTTCACGCGAACATCTGCCTCCATAAACAAACGTTCATGAGAGTTTTATCTCTTTAGCGCAAAAGTTTGTATCCTTACGGGAATGTTCATGTCTGATCAAGGATTTTCGTCTCTTTAAATAGAGACACGCAGGTATGGTAGAGATATACGAATTCAAAGTGCTTCTTCTTGATTAACCTCTTATCCGACCAAAGTATTTTGGTACACCCTAAAATAACTTTGATCTGAAAACGTTTACGCGATCCTTTAAACTATCAAGCCGTAACTCTTGTTCTTCATTCATAAAGTCTTCAACGCTGCAGCGTTCATCCTCCCAAGTAAAAAAAACTTAGAATTTGCTTAGACAATAGACAAAAGATGTTAGTTCACACATTCCTTTCAATAAAAGGCAACAAGAAAAGTGTCAATTTTACATGAAGGGCCAAAGGCCGTGATATGCAAAACAATTTTCTGCACGTTGATCTCATTCCACTATTGAGCTCAGGTAAGAGAGTTGCATTACGCCTCTATTCATTGTATCTTGGACACCCATTAACAAATTAAAAACTTTCACCGGGAAGACACTGAGGAATGGGTTTTTTCATCCGGCTAGCAAATCCCTACAAACCTCCGGGGGTCTCGTCAATCATTGTCCAACTCAGAGTCTTTTATTCTTATTTTGACCCTTTTACCCTTAAAATACTTATACCCCCACTTTGGAGGAGGGTATTTTTTCTCCAACTTCATATATTTGTCCAACATATCCAACTTCTTAAATACATGTCCCATCATTGTGACAATGCGAACGCTTGGCCGGACACCGAGTTCTTCCATGTCTGCAAATATCTGCACATGGACAAATGTCTTACATTGTGCAAAATCAACCCTTTTATTAATAATCCCTACTACAAAGTATATAAAGAAATCATGTAACATAGATTTCATACGATGTTTAAAGGATATGGGTATAGCATACGCTTATTAGTGTAAACTTTCTCTCCTTTCCCCCCACCCCACCCCACCCCTCGCAACCAACCATACACACCCAAACAGAGAACTAAGTCAGAAACTACCTCAAACATCTTTTCATGCATTTCTTGCTGGTAGTATATACGGACCATTTTCTCAAAAAAATTGCGAGGAATACTTTCATGGTTCTCTGAAAGCAACTTATTCCATAGAACTTCAGCTTCTTCGAGCCTTCCATCTTCAACCAAAGCATTCAACAAGGAATAATAGGTACCCATTGTTCTCCCCTGACCCTTGCTTAGCATCCACTTTGTCAACTACAACCCACTGTAGTCTCTGAGTGATTTGTTTAATGCTACACACACCTAAAACGTTGATAATGAAAATATCCAGATGATATATACCATACTTGTATCGTTTTCTGCCACTCCCTTTCATTCTCAAGGATCCTTAGAGCTTTTTTCACAGTGACCAATGGAAACTCCAATTCCCATGCAATAAAAGAATCAAGACCATCATAGACTTCTTCCTTGACATTTGATAAACCCTTTATCTATAGTAAGATAAAATAGTTCAGGAATAATATTAAAGAGTAACTACTCTCATCATGCAAATGAAAATTTTCCACGAAGAATGATTAATAGTCAGTATCCAAGATAGTGAGATGAATTTTAACTTGCTACAAGAATCCTCCTGACATGAATCAAAAGGTTGTGGAGAAAAAACATACACACTCTACAAGCTTGACAGACTTAGAAATGGTCCCTATTCTCCTTTTACTCTTACATACTTGAGGATACCTCGGGCGAGGACCTTTTGCAGCACAAACCTATGAAAATAAAAGGAAACACTCATGTACACTTCAAGAGCAAGCAAATACACATACTTTCATGAAGGAAATCAATATCCAGTAGGACTAGATGGATATGAAGTCAAAGGAATACTTAATTTATGCTACCTGTCTGTTCTAGGCAAAAGAATTTTGAGACCCACATTCTCTGCATATTTCCTACTCCCTCCGTTCCACAAAACCCTTCCCCTTTCATTTTTTTTTGAATTCCCTAAAACACTTCCACTTTCTATTAAAAAACCACTTTTACCCTTACTTTTTCATACCCTACCTATCACATCATACTTTTTCACTAATAACCAAACTATCACATCTTACTTTTACCCATCACATCAAGGGCAAAATTGGAAAGTTAACTAAAATTACACTTTCCTTATTTTCTCCAAAAATCAATACTGGAAGGGTTTAAAGGAACGGAGGGAGTACTATATATTACTAAATCCCTCTGTTCCTATGATAGTGACGAAAGGAAAGAGGTGATAGCCAGGCAAGAGGTACTTTTTCAAGGCTAGAGGCAAGGAGAGAGGCAAGCTACCAAAAGGCAAACGAGGTAAAGTAATTCGAATGTGTCTGTGTAATGCAATATATCTAGGGGAATAAATATCTCAAGCATATCACAAAAGTCAAACAAAATGAATACGCTACTAGTAAAAATGAAACATAGAAGTCGGACATATGTAAGAGAACAAATAAAAACAATATGATAGATAAAGTAAAAATGAACCAAAAGAGATTCTACGTATTTATATAATTAAGTAAAACTTTTTGTCGGTCCAAGTTAGAGAAGCTTTAGCCTATGAATTAAGGTCGAACAGCCTAGTTGAAGAATAGCCTGGTCGAACAGGAGTGTGGTCGACAAACCAAAATTGAACAAATCCTAGGCAGCAAATGAATTCGAACAGATGATTGTTCACATGGTCGAACCTCATTGTCAAGACAAGAAATACGACCAATGCACAAGAAATGAAGAAAATAATGTCAATATTTTGAAACCTGCAATCCCTACTTATCTACTCTATACTCTAGAGCTTTCAGACAATATTTTCTACTCTATACTAATATAATCCCCCATCCCAATTCATCAGGGTATCTAGTTTGACCTAATCATAAAGTTTAATAAAATGCATTGGGAAGATAAATTATTCAGATACTTAATACTTTGTATAAAATGATTTCATTAAAAGTCACTCTGTTATTTGAGTTTCTCTTGGGAAATGGGTAACTTGAAGAGTATAAAAGGGCATGTTGGGGGATAATAGTTATTGACTTAAATGTGCATAGATTACATAAATGACGAACAAGAAAATTTGGTCAAACTAGACAGAAATATAGCACCAAAGGAAGTACATCTTAACAAAGGGCAAACAAAAGGAAACGTGACAAGCGAGTGAGCTACAAACATAACTGCATGTAGAGAAAGCCTTGGGACGCATCTAACTCTAATTGATGTTTAAATTTTATTAACCAACAAGAAAAGATATTTGCCTGCTTCGCTCATTAGAAAAGTTAGAATGGAGTGAAGATATATGGAAGAAGACTTCACAAGAAGAATTATCCTCTCAAGATTCTTAGGATGCAATTACCATAGGCAGAATTTGAGAAGTAGCAGAGCATAGAAATATAAGCACTTCAGCTAAGAACAACCAGCAATTAATGTTAGATTAACAAATTTGCTGAAGAAGGTAGAGCAATGTAGTGAAAACCTATTAGATTAAGATTAAAATGCAATTACCTTCAAATCAATTGATATGTACTATTACTTGACAACAATCAAGCATCAAACACATGAATATCTAAATTTTAAAAACTGAGCAGAACAGCGAAATGCTTACTACGGTGGATCCAACACTTTTCTCCAGAAGAATAGTTGGTTCTGGCCTTCCTATGGAAATTGCAGAAAAACACCTCAAAGCAAGCATCCTGAGAATGAAGAAGTAAGTCACTAGCGCATTTCATCAAACGCCTAAAACACAAACTCCCAATGAAAGGAAACAATCAAATCTCACAGTTTGAAATTAAATAATCTTATCAATATTTTGGTAATAACTTATTCCCTAAAAAAAGAACTGTTGATTTCTTCAAAACCCTTTACAAATTAGAATCAAACAGGCTTTGAGAAAACGACTACAGTACAAAAGCAGAACCTTGAACGGCTGAGATTGAGATGGCTTACTGAGTTACTGTCTAAAGCGCTCCAGACTTCGAGTGAAGGAGAAAGCAGCCAGCAAGAGTCCAGGGTCGTATGGTGACTTGGGGACACGATATAAAGGAGAATAATTAAACAAGTGAATAAAATAAGCTCTAAATAAATACACAAAAAATAAAAAATAAAAAATAAAAAATAAGACAACTTAGTTTTAATTTTAATTTTCTCTATTTGTTTTAATTTTCTCTATTTGTTTTCACTTTGCTAGTTTTTCCTTCAGTTTCTTTTTGAAACTTTTATTTATTATTTATTCTTTTTCTCCCTTTTCTCATTTCTTACTTTTTTCTTTTTTCCTTTATCTCTTTCATTATTTTCTCCTTTATATTTTTTTGTTTGTAAACTTTTTTTGTCTGTTTATTAATATTTATTGTAAACAATTAAACAAAACAAGAGAATAAAAAGCCCTAAATAAATAAATAAATAACAAAAAATAAGACAACAGAAAATTTTTGAAAAATATACAAAGAATAAAACATATAGTACCATTTTTTGTTTCATATTTTTTCGATCTTGTTTGTTTGTTTTTTATCTTTTTTAATTGTTTTTATCTTTTTTCTTGATATTTGAGTATTACCAATTTGTTTGGTTATGTGTTATTTTGTGAATTTTTTTGTAACATTTTTTTAGTATTTTCTATAAATAACCATCTTGTTGTTTATTTATGATACAGTACTATATGTCTTATTTTTTTGTTTTTTTTTTAAATTTTTTGTTGTCTTATTTTTTTGTTTTTTGCGTATTTATTTAGCGCTTATTTTTATCACTTGTTTTGTTTAATTGTTTACAATAAAAGTTAAAAACATACAAAAAAGTTAACAATAAAAAGAAATCAAATAAAACAAAAACATTAAGACGTGTGATATGATTTTTTGGTTTAATTAAATTGATTAAATATTAAATAACACAATTATTAACAGAAAAGATAAAAGATAAAGGAAAAACAATGAAACGAATAAATAAAGGAAAAAAGAAAGAAAACAAAACAAAGAAAAAAAAGTAAGAAATGATTAAAAGCAGAAAAGGAATAAATAATAAATAAAGATTTTAGAAAGGAACTAAAGAAAGAAATAGAAGACAGAAACAAACAGAGAAAATTAAAACAGTGAAAAAAAATTTTTAAAAAGAAAAAATAAAGGAAATTAAAAGAAAAAAGAAAGAAATGATAAAAAGCGAGAATGAATAAAAAATAAATAAAGAGTTAAAAATGAATCAAAAGAAAAAAAGAAGCAAAAGAAAAGAGGGAAAAAATAGTGAATAAGAAAAAAGAAAAGAAAGGAAAAAAAACAAAAACAAAATAGAGGGGAAAAAGAAAGAAGAGAAATGGGAGTGATTTGAAAAAAAAGAATATAAATAATGGGAGTGTAAGGAGAAGGAAAAAAAAGAAATGTAGGCCAATGTAAAAAAATAAAAAATCATATTTTGCAATTTGGTCCAAAGTGACTATTGGTCACAGGTCACCTGTAATGGGCAAATGAACTATTAGTAAAATAATGGTAAAAGTTTACGTATTTTTGTGAAAAATTTTAAAATTTAGGTACTAAATTTAAAATTTAATGAAAGTGTAAGTATCATTCCTAAAATTAAACTTAAGAAGTAACGTTGCACATTTTGACTAAGGCTCCAATCCGCTCAACTTATTTTTATGATTAGATCTGATTAGATCTGATTTGATCTGATGTGATTGGATCCTATCTGATCTGATCTGATTGGATCTGATCTGATTGGATCTAATCTGATCTCGTCTGATTAGATTAATTATGATTTGATTTAAAATTCAAATCAATAATTTGATTTGACTTTATAATAACGTTTGAAAATTGTAATGATAATTCATATTATAATATAATCAATATTTTTTATTTTATTATTATTTTTTAATAAAATAAAATTAGTTAATTCATATATTAGAATAATCATTCATATTATAATGTAATAATATTTTTTATTTTATGATTATTTTTTTGTGAAATTAGAATATTAATTTAATATTTTAATAATTACTTCATATATACATTAGGATAAATATTTAATTTATATATACATTAAAAAGTAATTAAATTTAGATAATCAATATATAAAAGAGATAGTATTTTTATTAAAATATCTTATCCTTATAAAAGATCAAAATTTTAAAAACCCAAATTACAAGTAACAATGAAAATATATTTTAAAAGTAGAATTAGATTGATATTGTTAATGTATTTTAAAAATAATTTTTCCAACGTCTAATAATTAAAGATTATTTTCTTAGTTTTCTATTTAACTTGTTTCTAAAGTTTATTCTTTTTCATTTTTAAGAATAATGATAATGATAACAATAACAACAACAGGTAATTCTTGATGTGATCTGATCTGATTGAATTTGATCTGGTGGAATTTGATATGATTTTAATAAGAATAAGAAAAACCAAGTTGAACGGAGTTGAACTGAACTGGGCCTAAGTAACGACTGTGGGTAAAGAGGAGGTCAATAAACTCACCATTTTGACTAAGTACAACATTGGGTTCTTTAGCATTTTTGTGGGTAGAGCAATGCTAGAGGTACACCTTTTTTGTCTCATACCCCTTTCTCCACCTCTCATTTTTACTCCATTTTTATTTATTTACTCCCTCCGTCCGGATTTTAAGTTCCCGGTTTGACTTTTTTTATTTTTATGGAGAGCTGACTTTGTGCGTAAATTGTCCAAAACGCCCCTGCCCTTCACAGACCATTTCACCTATCTCCGCCAACACCCATCCTTGCCCTTTGCTCCGATAATCTTCGCAGCAACCTTGCCGCCACCGTCAGCCTCCCCATCACCAATTTGGTCGCCGAAAATTAGAAGCAGCGTCCTGGAGAAAGTAGCATCAGGTAGAGGTTCGAAGCAATGGGCAGCCAGGGAGAAAGTGTAAATTGTTTCTAATTTGGAGGAGACAGAGTATCAATATGTGTAGATCTGGGAAGACTAAAGATTTTGACTAAAGAAGAAGAAGAAGAAGAAGAAGAAGAAGAAGAAGGTTGCCAAAGAAAGAGGAAGAAGAAGAAGAGCAGATCTACGGATCAGAGGAGATTTTGACTAAAGAAGAAGAAGGTGGCCAAAGAAAGAGGAAGAAGAAGAGCAGATCTACGGATCGGAGGAGATTTTGAGGAGAAGAAGAAGAAGAAGACAAAAGGAAGAGGAGGAGAAAGAGTTGGTGTCTTGGGGATCGAAGAGGAGGAGAATTGAAAGACAGTGTAGACCCGACAGATCCGAGAAAGAAAGAAAGAAATAGAGATCAGGGATGGGGAACTGAAAATGAAGGGAGAAAGAGAAAAGGAAGAAGAAAGAAGGAGAGAAGGGTATTTTAGGAAGAATGAGAATGAAAACGTATAATGGGAACTTAAAATCCGGACGGAGAAAAGTGTGGAATGAGATCTTAAAATCCGGACGGAGGGAGTAATTTTTTTTAAATACTTGCTGATTTTTGTAGTAAAGGAGAGGTGAGAGACAAATGATGGGGAAAAAGGTGGGTAACATCATTCATCGCCCAGATTTCATACCCAATCTCACATCTGTCAAGAACTTCACAAAAAAATCATATACAATCCAGTAAAATGCTGATGTTGGAATCCGTTGCGGCTGGCGGTGTTAGAATCCCACCCCGGCACTTTTATCGCCTCTTCTCACTGTCCGCCGGACATAGGTACTAGCTCATATGCTCATGTACTCCCTCTAATTTAAGGTCAGAATCTTATACAACGTTTGGACCCTCTCTTTCTCTCCAGGAGTCGAGTTAGAGGATTGACGGAAACTTCTTGCGGGAAGAAGTTCTGGAGGGACAATAAAAGAATTAGGGCTTCCTCTAAGGAACAATTCAGCTCTTCCGGGTCGGAGCCTGTAAAGAGGAGTGTGAAGCCGATGGGATATCATCAGTTGGAGGACATTGCTCTGTCGGAGTTAAAGGAGGAGGGTGAAGCACGACTTACGCCTGCTGAAACTACCAGAACATTAATTGAGGTGAAAGGAGGTTACTTCTTTACCTAGAGTAGTTTCAATCTAGTTTTAATTTGGTTAGGTTGGGATTGAGTTGCTACCCATCAATCTTCCCCTCAAACTAAGGACAAAAAACTTGTAACCTCCCCTTCATCTATAATCTATCTGATATGCTAACCCGCTAACCATCTTGCACTGCCGCCGCTACAATCTCATCGCACGCGTTGTTCGACTTCCTCATTTTTGAAAAGACTTTCAAAACAAGGCATCAACCACACCCGCCATTACAACCTTGCGGGACACGTTGATTGTCGGAAAGACTTTTAGCACAAGACATCAACTGCAGGTCTCCAAGACCACTCACGAAGACTTTCGACAAGGCACGATCTCTTTTTGTCATGTTCTATTGTTACACCAAGAACTTCAAATTTATTTTTGTGTTCCACACGAGCCTAGTGGGGGAGCCAGTTTGGGGCCTTCAAAAAAATGTGTGGTATGTTTTTTGGGTCCATGAGTTAAGCATATACAGAGTATCAAGTATGTCTATTTTTGATGACTTAATTCAGGCAAACGTAATCCTAACGGAGTCTGTTACTCCTATTTGAGACTGTGCGTACCTTCCCCAATTCCGCATTAGTATGATAGTATCTGCTTTGGGCCAAATGCCCACAAGTTTGTTTTTGGAATCTCCTAAATGGTCCCATACTAATGGAGTTGAGTTGAAGTTTATTTTTTTATTCTAATTTTTCCTTTCCCTCTGTCTTGGGACTTGGGATGCTACCCAACAAAGGTGTGGATTTTTGACACAATATTGTGTGAAACTGTGAGCCTAGTACCGGCAGCTCCTATCTCTACACACACATTATTGTAATTCGTTAGCTAAAAATCTCAAATTTGTTAATACTTTACTCAAATTGTGATCTGCAGGTTAACAATAGCGCAACACTTGTGTTTAGCGGTGTAGCGAGCAACGAAACACATCAGAACGTTTTCTGTCAGGATTTACCTTATCTAACTGATGAACATGGAAGTAAGACACGACTTTCTTGCCAGCATCAAATTCCTTTTGATGTTTGTTTTAGAGATTTAACCTCTTGTCAGGCATTTACTTTCAAGTAATGGATGAAGAAAACCTTCTGCAAAATCTGACAAGCTATGAAAACCATGTGGTATGGCATAAAGCTTATTTATTTCTTGGTAATTGCATATCCCGTGCTTTCTTATGCTTTTACAGATTTTATTTATATTTATACTGGGTGCAGCAAGTTTTTATTGGCCTAGACTCTGTAGACGTGCTTAGTGAAATGCAGTCATTCATCCAATCAGAAATTGATTTTGGCATTGATGAATTTGATGACGAGGATGCTATTATTAACGGTGACTACAGTGATGACAATGATGGTGACATTGACGACGATGATCATGGTGACGACAGTGATTATGAAGAGGTGACTTTTTTAGTACATATATGTGAGGGCCGTGAAGCCAATGGGCTTGTGGTCAAGTTGTAATGCATGTTTTTCTATTTTTTATTTTACCTGAAGGAATGGGATACTGTTCTTGACCATGAAGATGACGGGGATGATGGTTCTGAAGGATCATTAGTTGACTGGTCAAAGTTGGAGACCATGCGATCTTCTCATCCTATGTATTTTGCCAGAAGGCTTACCGAGGTTACTTTTTTATTTTTCAATAATTAAAATTTATCCATGTGATTGATACAACCCATATCAGTAACACAGAGAAGCTAAAGAAAAGAAGCCACAAGTGGAAAATCATGACACACGGAACACATCTTTGCTACATTGGTTAATTTTTCCATACTAGTGGAGCATTAATAATGCTCAATTACAAGTGACTTAATAGTAATGGAGAAAGTAGATGCAAACTGTAGCATCATGGAGGAAAACTAAAGATATGTGCCTAGTGGTGTGCAAAAACAAAGGAGAACAGATACAATGCTAATAAACTGCCACATGGGTAAGAATAAATAGGAAAAAATAAATCAGATAATACTCCTCTCTCCTTGAGTAAAGACAAATCACACTGCTCAGGGTTGTCTTGGACATTTTAGGAAAACACGTGCTTGAAAGGAACAAAAATATATGATGAGGCATAATTTCAATATCAACATTATCATACCTAATATTATCTTATCTAATATCTATATACCCCTTTATTCTATAAAAAATCAAGAATTAAAAATAATGCTAATAATAATAATAGATCTACTGAACCTTAGAATTTTTAATCATACAAACTTTATACAACAAATTATAAACTAAGAAAAGATAAATCTCATAAAACTAATGATTAGAAAATATAAACAAGTCAAATTAACTTAATAAAAACTAAAGAAGGGGAATCATAAACATTTTTATAAAAAGCGTGGAAGGATTAGGGGATCTCATCCTGTGCACTTGAAAGGAATAGAAAGATTAGAAGAGGCACAAGAAAGAAGATAAAAAAGAAAAAAAAGGAGTGGATGCAGACTTGAAATGAATGACTGTATGAGAAGATATGAAAGAAGAAACAAGGAAACTTTTTTTAATATTAAATAAAAAAATAAAAAAATTGTAGGCCCCCTATATATATCGTGGCCCTGACTGGTTGCTCAGGATGCTCCCTCTTTTGAGCTGACATTGGCGCTGCCCATCTTAGGTTGCTTTTGGGCCCTTCCTCGCATAAGGGTTTGGTCTTCGGCTGGTTGAGTTATGTATCAAGTATTAATACTTCGGGGGAAAGGAGTGAACTGATGGGCAAGCAAGTCATACTCTTCCCAACTTGCTTCATCTATGGGACGGTCCCTCCATTTGATCAGAAGTTCAAGTGTGTTGTGGCTTGCCTATGATGAACACCGATGCCAACGTACCTCCTCCAGGACAAGCTGTAATTCCCAATTACCATTAATAAGGAAAGGGGGTTGTGATGGCAGTGCCAAGCTACCATTCACTTTCATTACAAGGAGTCATGTGGTCTGTCTGGTAACAACGTTTGTAATTAGCGTTTGCTTTTTGGATAATGTTTGATTAGTGAAAATTAATCTCAAAATTCTAATGCTAAAGGATATTGTAGTATATCATTTCCAAAATGCTAAAGTGCTAAAGTTAAAGCTAATGCTGATGCTGAATGGGCACATGATAATAGGGTGAACCATGCGATTACTGGAAGTTTAACTGCACCAGTTACTATTCCCGCATGATAGAACGCTTCCTAAGGGCCAAAAAGCCGTACCCAAAGTTTTCCAAATCAGTATTTGGCAAGTGATTGTTGTTTGCAAGGGTGGAGACACAGGAAAAGTAGAACTCCTACCTCAAACATTGTGCTTTACCCAAGGGGTCGTGCATGACAGAGTGCATGAAATCTCTTTGTAGAAGTTTCTTCTCTAGTTCAACTGAATGAGTTTCACCCTTGATGTTAGGGTAAGGAGTTGGGTGGTCTAGACCGTATTAGACTTTGAACGGGGAAGCACCTGCTAAAGAATGAAAACTAGTGGTTTAATAGTATTCTTCCCAGCACAAGTACTCGTACAAAAAAGAACGATGTTCATGAATAAAATAGCATAAATAGTCTTTCAAACACCTGTTGAACTCCTCCACTTGGCTTCCGGGTTATGGATGATAGGCTGTGCCCATATTGAGTTTTGTCTTGGTATATGCTTGAATAGTTATAGTGAAAAAGAGCGAGAAAGAGTCGCGATCTCAAATGATAGGAAGTGGGAAGGCATGCAATCTTACAACTCTGCAGAAGGTGGCAGATACAGATTTTGCTGGGTTGGGGTGTTCTAGTGCGATGAAATGGCCATATTTGCCGAACCGATCCACAACCACCAAGATGCTATCAAAGGATTGGGAAGTCCAACAATGAAAACCATGGAGATGCCATCCCAACCTGATGGGACAGTTGCAGGGGATGTAGAAGACCTGCTGGAGCTAGGGTTTGGTGTTTAATCTGCTGACAAAATAAACATTGCTTCATAAAATTCTTCACATCCCGTTTCATATGTGGCCAATACAAGCTAGAAGAGAGCCTCTTTAAAGCTTTACTAGGATCACATGTGAGGGAGAAGTGAGTGTCTTCAATTAAATTCCCCTGAAGTGGACTGCCTTGGACAATGGCGAATTGATCCTTAAAAAAAGAGTTATTCTCCTACCCCATGTTCTAAAGGCGGTCTCCGGTGGCTCGCCGGTGCCTAACCACCCCGATTTTAGCCTAGGCGGCTCAAAAGTCGGCCAAAGTGCCTAGGTTCCCATTACAATTTAAAAATTATTTTAGATAAAATGACACAATTTTATATAAACACTTTTTGTATAGTTGACAATAATAAGTCAAAATAGACATATGTTTCATAAAATGTGATTGTTTGATGATATCTTTGCATTGTGTGAATGTTAATTTGTAAGTCATTTGATGCCCAGTATTTTATTTTGTAATCACATAGGCACACATTAATTGAAAAACACTCATTAATAATAAAAGATCTTGTTATTACATCAAATACACATTAATTTTATGTTAGATACCTAATTACCTACATATATTTTATTTAGAAATTCTCAACTGTCAAATTTTATTTTAATAATCTCAACCGTCATATACAAAGAAATACTTTGCCTAATTCTAGCCAGCACCTAGGCGGTCTAGGCGAGAGAAATACAGCGCTTTCCTTCTATAACACTGCTCCTACCCAAGAGAAATCTAGTGCAGAGGAAGATTGTATATAATGTTCTTGGTGTAGGGATCATTATTGAGAGAATTACTTTACTCAGAAAAATCAACATTATGACTTATGAGGTCTTCTTGACAGTGCATCAGCTCTGTTGTTCTCTTTCTTTATATTATAGGTGATAGTGAAATCAAATGATAGCAATTTTGAAATCAGTCTTTGCTACTCCCTCCCTCCCTCCTATATCTTTCTTCAGGTATTCCTTTTTGGTTCGTCCTATTTCTTTCTTCCTCTTCCCATTAATGTCAATTTAATCAGGAGTAAAAGTTCCTCTTGCCCTTAAATCAGGGTATAATCTTTTAGACATTTGGCCTTTTCTGGTTCGTCTGATGCTGCCCTGGCGGAAGGCGGCGGTGTTCAAACTCTACGGCTTCATCCTCCCACGACAGTGTACCAGTCAATGAACCCTAAGCTTCTGCCCAGAGCTTTCACCCAGTCAGAGATCCAGACCAATGCGGCAGGGGAGTGGCTACTCTTCCTCTTCTTACCAGATCCAAAACGTTTTATCTACCTCTTCCTCTTCTTTGATGGCCCAACGCAGCAAGGGGTTGGTGGCTCCGCCAGAGATCCGGATCCAGGTGCAATGAGGAATGATGATGACAGGATTGAGGCACAACAATTTTTACCATAGCTGGCTTCATATGTAGTAAGGGAAAAAATGGGACCTCAAAGCTTTTACTGGTTCATATGGAGGAAGGGCAAATATGGAAAGTTAAAGTATTTTGTACCTAGCACTAAAAAGTGTGCCCGGTCACTACAGGAAGAGAAATACTGGAAAGAGGGAGCATTAATTAGTGGATAAGTTCTGCTGTAACAAGTGCTTCAAATGGAAGTGGCCGTCAACATAGAAATGCTTGCCAATGAGATAATGCTTCCATTTCTGGAGAGCTAAAACTCAGGCCAAGAGCTCTCTATCATAGGCAGATTTGTGGTGATTTGAGTTAGAAAACCCCTTGCCAAAACAATGTTTGAAAAGGCGGAACGCAAACCCGCCTCAAGGCGCGCCTCGTAACTTTTTCCGGAAATTCCGCACTGGTGCTAATCCCGATTTCACGCTATAGGTTTTTTTACGCAATTCTCTGAAAGGCGTACGCCATGGGGCGTACGCGCTGGTGCACGCATTAAGGCTTACGCAATTCAAGGATTAGAAATTTACCCAATTAAGTGTATATATCCTAAAATTACCTTTGTCGAGTGTCGATTTCCCTAATCTTTGTCGATTACCTTTTGCGAGCTACGAACCGTGTCCAGCGTCGGCCGTCTTCAATCTTCTTCTCCGGCGAAAAGGTATGTTTTTTTGTTTGCGTCTCTGCTCTTTCTTTCCAGCACATGCAAAGGATAGGGTGCTGCGTTTTATGTCTGCTTTGTACAGCTGTCCAACTTTGCCTTTTTCTCTTTTTACAATTGTCAAGTGGTGCTATTTTTTTCTTTTTCTTATTTTTTTGGTAATCTTTTTGTGAAGAAGTAAACTAGCATTCAATTGATGTTTTTTATGAGTTTATGATTGGTATTTTTTCAAGTAGTTGGATGAGATGATTTTTTTTACCTGTTAATATCCTCTTTTTTTTCTTCTTTTTTTGATAACTGATGTGCTAATTGTTCTATTTTTTTTGTTTTTAAGATGAATTATTGCATAGTATTGTATTGTTTATTTTGGTGTTTCAGAAATTAGAATATTGCTTAAATGTCGGACCCAGCATGGAAGTATGGTGTTGACTCAACACCCAATATCGAAGGACAAAAAAAAAACTAGAAATATGTAAACTGCAATTTTTGTAAAAAAGATGTCAAAGGCGGGATTAGTCGATTTAAGCATCATCTTTTGATCCTAATTTCAAGCCGTTAGACACTGATGAACTTTTTTTCAATTCTTCAATTTAAGCTCATCACTTCGAGCAAAATTATGTCTGATTCCATGTTGGACTTTGTTATGTTTGCGATGTATTGCTTTGACAAGATACTTTCTTCATGTTTTTGGATTATTTATGTTATACATTATGTTCTATCTTTGGTTTTAAATTATTTTGTGAATGTTTTTCAATTTAAAAATTGAGGCTTACGCCTCAAAACGCCTCAAGGCTTACGCAATACGCCATGAAATGAAAACGCCTCAAAACCGCAATACGCCTTTTCGAACATTGTGCCAAAATAAGCAGTGTGGTGTTCGTATTTTAGTAATATTGCGCCAACACCCTTGGCCTACACATTGCACTCCACCACAAACGGGGAGCTGAAATTTCAAGGCATAAAACTGGCACAGTAGTAAGGGCAGTCTTGTCAACTTTGTACTCTACAAGAATGTATTATTATTTGTCAACTTTGTTAAATTGTGTGCTATGAGACCATTATTACGACAAATCTACAGTATTAACTAGTTAACCCCAATAATTCTAGTAGCTCGTTTACATTTTTGGATTTTAGCCTATCCAAGATGGTTTGGAATTTGTCAGGATCAACTCCTATGCCCCTGTGGATCTGCCATGCCTGAGAAATCTGATATTAACCTGTCCAAATGAGCATTTGACGGGATTAGTTAAATAAAAGCATGATGGAAGGGTTTGGTGTGTCACTCACAAATGCTCTAGATGTGTTTGTAATGTTGGATTGTAGATAAACATAAAAAAAACACCAAGACAAAGTTCCACAAATAGGGTCTGAACAAATCGTTCATGCCCGCTGGATAAGTAGCTAGAGCCTAGAGTGTTGGTCAATCCAACGGAATGACCACAAATTCGTGATGACTGAGTGAGTGCAAAAAGTTGTTTTGTGGACATCATCAGGGTGTACTTGAATTTGATGGTAACCCAAATACATATCAATTTTTGAAAAGCAAGCAGCTCCTTGTAATTCAACCAATAACTCATCAATATTAGGTATAGGCTATAGGGTACTTAGAGCAACTTTAGCCATTCCTCTCACTTTCCCCTCCATCTCCTCTATTTCTAATGCCATATCACTTTCCTCTTTAATTTTCCTCCCACCACTTTAGTGTTTCCCATCATCTTTTTCCTTTTTTGAAATGGTGGGCCTCATTTGTCCTGAATTTTTTTACGTGTATAATTAATCTAAGAAATAAAATTGATTTATTTTTAAAAAAAGTAACTTAGGTTTATATATTTGAATTTTAATAAAAGCATATATACCATAAACTTAATTTTTATAAGATTGAATAATTAGTTCTTACAACAAATTATTTTTTCTTTCTAAACAAAAAAATTATTTTTCTCAAACAACTTTTTTTTTCATCCCAATCTTTAAAAAAAAATACTCCAGCTGATTTATGGACAATTGAGGGCAAAAAAATGCTACTCCGTAAAAACTAGATATGGAGCCCATATGGCAGCAATTTTTTCCTATGTTCCTCGACGCATATGCTTTCCCCGATTCCTTTTTTTTCTTGTTTTCCTCTTGCCATTTTAACCCTTCCTCTCTATTTCCCCCCTTCCACATCAGCGTTACTCGATCTTTCATCTCACATTAAAGTTGCTCTTATTTAGAATTGTAATCTGGTTTAGCTTACGAAAATCAACACAACCTCCAGGATGAGTATGCCTTCTTTACTAGCAGCACTGGACTGGTAAATGGGCTTGGTGCTAGGCTTGATGGATCCTATCTGCAAGAGTTCTCCAATCTTCCTCTCAGTCTCAGATTTTTGACAATGAGGATACCACTAGGGTCTGGTGTTGGGTAATTTGGCTGAAGTAGAGGAATGCAGTGACAATGTTGTTGGAATGAAGAGAGGCTCCTGGGTTCTGTAGAAAACTGATAAGAAGAACAGATTGGTATGCAGAATAGAATTTTTATTGATGTAAAAACTGTACAGGAATATTTGTGTTCACTAAATATATATAGAGAACAGACCAACATGACTTTTACTAACCAACACAACTATTACAAACCAACACACCTATTAACAATAGAAACTACCCATAACTGCCTTTTAGAAACTGCCCTATTGTTTTTTATTTAAATTAATTAAATATGTAAAACACACTAAACGACACCACACTAATTGACTCTATACTAACTGACCCAAACATCGACTCATTACTCATTCGGTTATATGTGAACAAACCTGATTAAATCTAACAATCACGCCCTTAATCGTTGTTTGTTCACACTGATCTTCACAACAGCGTTGGTTCATCATCTTCAATCAAGTTTGCAATATGTTCCTTTTGATCCCATTTTGGACATTCATTCAAAAAATGCCCTAACTCATTGCACTTGAAGCACCTAACGTGACTCTTATCCCGCTTAAACCGACCATCATCCTGACCTTTCCCGGACCCCCGACCTCTACCTCGGCCACGTCCAAAGTC